CATCGACGAACAGCAGCTGCGGCTGCGCCTGTTGTTGCTTCGCTCCCGCCGCCATGATTGTTTCCGATGTGGTGTTCGGGGTTTTTTGGGAGGGTCGACGACGAAGAGAGGGGGTGGGTGGGTTTCGAGGTCGGTGGTTTATGCGGTTGATCGGGGGGTTGGAGAGAAAAACCAAAAAGAGGAGGTTCTAAACCCGGGAAAAACCAGACGGCCGAAAGTGTGAGAAAGACAGAGAGAGGGGGCGTGTCGTTTGAGAAAACGGAGACAGGGGGTCGGTCTGTCGTGCGGTGAGTCCAACTGCTTCGATTTGCGAAGGCCGACTCGTTCTGCGTCGTCGTTGATGGAGGGGTGGTGGTAAGCAATTTTTTCTGCCACTTTCGCAGTTGTGCGAAAAACCGCAAATGGGGCCCTAGGCGAAGGCGGTGAATAAAGCGGGGTGCCAGCGTTCAAAGTCGGGCGTTACACCAAATGCGCATCTCCATCAAATCGTTCACCATGACATGCTGTAATCGGTATAAAATCGAGTGACTGACATTGCCAGGCAGGACAGTCTGAAATGAATGTTTTGATTTCGCTACGAAAGTAGACAAGAAATATACATGGCAGAAAAAGAGACGAGGACCCGATGAAGACATGTCGTTGGTTCGGCCCCACCCCGTCCATCTGGACTGCCGGTGTGACCCGCAGCAGCCTGGCCGTCCTGTATCTTCCCGGGGCCGATAGATCGGTGGGCAATATCGCTGAGTCTTGGCTCTTTGACCACCCGATGAAGAGCTCATCAACCTACCTCCCCTACAACTGATGGGAGCCAGTCAACCCATCGTATGTGTCATCGACAGAACATCTCTTCACAGACGAGTCTTGCATGTTGTTTAACCTTATTATTATATTGGGCCGTTGTTTCGATCAAAAACAGCGTGAAACTCCAAACTTTTGCCCATCCGTGCCCGCGTATTTGCAGAGGTCGTCCAATGCTTTACTGCACAACCCATCTCTCCAAGCCTGTGACACTACTGAAAACAATGGCTGGTGGTGTCGCAAGCATAGTACATGCCTACATGGCACCAGGAAAGCCAAGAACCCAAAACATCGCCAATGCTGTCCCCAGACACAGCGCGAAATCCATGCTCCCAAAGAACGAACCCACAAGAGATATTACACAGCATCACTTCCCACCATTCTTCTCGGCGCTAGCAATGTCGTTCTTTGAATAAATGCTCTCCCCGTCGGCCCCAAAGAGCGCCTCGTCGCCCTTGCCCCCCATCTCCACGAATTCGCCTACAGCTCTCTGCGAGTGGGGGTCAGCCTCTTTTGGCTGGATCTTCTTGGTGTTCTTAGCGTAAATATTGACGGGCTTCTTGCTGTCTCCCACAGGCGCTCTGGTTGCCACCTGGACTGAGTTCAATGTGCTCAAGAGCGTGCGTTCTCTGGTCACGCCCCGTCGATGGACGCCCAAGCCTTGAATGCCGCCAACAAGACCATCAGTGCTATCATTGACACCAGGCTGGTTCTGAGTCATCCATGGATGGTTGAGACACTGGTCCACAGTGAATCGACGTTCGGGGTCGACGACAAGCATAGAATCAATCAGGTCAACTAATTTGAGGCATCAGTTTCTGTACAGATAAAATGGACGTTCGAGCCACTTACGAGCAGGGTCGCCAACAGAATCCCAGTACGGTGACGGGTAGTCGAACCTACCGCTTTTAATCTGCTGCGACAACGTGTAAGGGAATTCCTTGGAATAGAGCTCGTCCGAGAAGGGCGGGAAGCCACACAAGCAGATGTATAGCACGACACCCAGCGACCAAATGTCTACAGCTTTCGTGTACTTTCTGTGCCTGCCCTCGGCGAGAATCTCCGGAGCCACATAACTGGGCGTGCCGCACAATGTGGTCGTGAAGGACTCTTCACCAATAATCTTTGCCAAGCCGAAATCAGCCAGCTTGACATTGAGTTCCTTGTCGACCATTAAGATGTTCTCAGGTTTGATATCTCTGTGAACAATATTGCGATCGTGCTGCTACCTGTCAGCGCTCAGCTCAATATCGCCATGATAGGACACTCACAAGATATTTGATGCCCTGGAAGAGCTGCTTGAAGAGCTTACGCGTCTCATCCTCGCTCACTTTCTGCCTCATCACAATGAAGTTGAACAGCTCGCCTTCGGGAGCCAGTTCGAGGACCAGATAAACGGCGTTACGTTCATTGAACGTGTCCTTCAGGCAGAGAACGTTGGGGTGGCTGACGCCCATGAGAACAGCAATCTCCTGCTGCAAGCCCTCCTGCTTGGATCTCTCCTCCATGCCGGGCGTTTTGGTGAAGATCTTGACGGCGTACCGTTGGCCGGTAGACTTCTCGACACACAAAAACACTTCGGCAAAGTGACCCTTGCCCAACTTCTCGAGGAGAGTGTACTGACTCAGAAATGCACTAGATTGCCGACTCTTCGGGTACCGGAAGATGAAACGAGCTTTGTCAATAACAGCGATTTCGTCTTGCTCCTGGAGTTCTCTCCGCTTGTTGCGTCCTACGATTGCTTCGTTGACGAAGGTTCCGTTACTAGACAAATCCTCCAGAATCGCAACAGTGTCGCCGCCCTTGTTTTCGGTGAAGATTAAGCAATGCCTGTTGGAAATGATGGGATCGTCCACGACAATGTCTGCGGGTTGTCAGCACCACCATGGCTACGCTCGGAGACGGACGACAGGCTTACCGCACTCTGGATGACGGCCAATCAAGTATCCGCCCGATGCAACTCCCTTGACCTTTGTGCGCTCATATGCCTCCTCTTCCTTCTGCAAAGACGACTTTCCATTCTGATCCTTATCCGTTGACTCTTTCGCCTCGAGAGCATCGGGTAGGGGGCAAGCAGCTCGCCTCTTCATGACGACAACTTTGCCATATTTGGTATCGAGAGGGAACAAGTATCCCCATACACCCTCCTTCACCTCGTCCTCGACCTCGTCCGAGAGGGCCTCCTTGGTCTCGTGGGCATACTGCGAGAAAGCCTGGGTAGCCTCCTGCGGTGGCGAGGAGATGTTGTTAACAGCTTGCGACGCGTCGTCCTTATCGCGGTGGTTCACCTGGCTGGGACGTCCTTCCGGGGGTGTGGCGGTGGGCTCCTTGTAGACCTCATCCGAGTCGCCAGACCTTGTGACTGGGGAGGGAAGCTGGTGCTTCTTAGAGACTGGCGTCTTGTGCTCGGGTTCCGGTGATTGCCTGTCGGAGCGGCGGGGCTTCTTCGCATCCAGTTCGGTTTCTGGCAGAGAACCCTTTGGGAGGGAAAGACGATTTAGGATTGCACACCAGAAGGCCGGGCAGATCAGTAGGCGACTTACTCTAGTTCGTTTCAATTGGCTCTTTTCGGGTTGAGGAGGAGCCATGGCCTCGGTTGGTAGTGTTACGAGTCTTGCGGGATTCGCTCGCAAGTGGAATTCTCGGAGGCAGCAGGCGAGTAAAGCAAGGTGAGGTAAGGAATGGTTACGTCGTCGGTGAATTAATGGATACCAGGTATGTGTCGATCTCTGGCTATGGCAAGCTAGTACGTATGGAAAACCTCTGTAAGGCCAAAATGATTTGTGCAGACAAAAGTTCTGGGGATAAGGTGTAATGTGGGTGATTGTGAAAGTTGTAACGGATTGGGGATGGGAAGATTGGATGTTGGAAGTGTTGCCTAAGGGAGAGATGTGATGGATGGCGAGGCTCTTCGCATTAATAAACCAGCTGCTCAGCAAAGCCTGGAAAGGCAAGCCCCGAGGAGTGAGCGTGGAGTGCAGCCTGGAAAATGGAGGAGCTACTGAGCACCGCGGCCTGCGTATTGGACGATCCGGGAAGTCAGTTCCCTCAAAGTGGAGAGGGGGGGGGAGGTAGGTGGTAGCTTGGTGCAGGTGCAAGTGCAGTGGTGCTCAAGCTACGGCCAAGCCAGGCGAAAAAAGTGGAAGAACCAAGCAAAGGCCCCTGGCAATGGCCCTGTGCAAGCTGCCGGGTCCCGTCAGGTTGTCCCTGTGTCCCGGTGCTGGTGAGGTGGTGGTCCTGCTTGTCTTGTCCACGAGTGTCCTGTGTCCTGGTCCTGGAGAGGGTCCCGTCCGCTGGGCTGGGCTGGGCTGGCTGGGGCTTGCTGGATCCGTCACCCGGAGGGTAACTGGGCTGAACTGTGAACACCGCCCTAGAGTCACCTCACCTCATACAGCTGGACTGCTTGCTGGAGGGAGGCAGGCAGTGGAGGTTGACTGTTGACAGGGCCTTCCTTCTCTCGGATCGAGGACCGTGCCAGAGCAAGTGGGCCCTCGAGGATCGAATGAATGACTGCAGTGGTGCTGCAGCCTAGACATGCAGTCATCGGCTGTTTCCTGCCAGCTCTTCTTCTCTTGCTCTCTCAAATGAGGTAAGCCAACGCCGCTTTCCCTGCTCAGTCCTTTTATATTTCCTTTTTTTTTTCTTTTTTTTTCGAGTGCCGCAGGTCGTATGCAGATCTGGCAGATACGTGCACAGATACTATAGATAAGGTAGAGAGGTGAGGTGGTGTGAGGTACCTCAAGTCAAGGTATAAGTCGTTATTCACTGGGTCGCGCAGAGTTGAAGAGACGAGCGCAATGGTGCTTCCGCAACGAAGAATAATACGAGGACACCGATGATGGATGAGTTGGAACGGCGAAACATTTCAAAATTCTCTTTTCTGGAAATGGGAAATGACTCCCATCCCCTTCCATATGAATACCGCCAGCCCCATGAGGCGGGAGCAAGAACCGCGCCCGCGTGAGACTGATAATAACCCTTTTCTTCCCTCCCGCCTCCGCCTCTAATACAAACCATGTGGCGGAAAGAACCAGGTCTCATGTGAGCCATTCTTTTTTTCCTCTGTAAACCTCACCTGCACACTTTCGCGATGTTCGCCTGGGAAGGGGGACCCACTCAACCACAACCAGATGACGAAGGTGAGTTAAAGTACCTAGGTAAGGTGTTCATGAATCATATAGCCGCTGCTGCCCATAAGGTTACCGTAGTCTTCACGATCGAGATTTCCCATACTATGGTTATGGACTCACCGCACCTTGTCGAATTCGGGTCTTGACAGCGGGTATGGCGAACGAGCTTGATGTAGACACCCGTTCTTCCCCCATCTCGAGTCTCCAAATTGAGACATCCCCATCATGCGCCCTTCCCAGCATCTAAAAGTGACGCTCCCCCCACCCCTTCTGCCCAGTCCTTTTGGTCACTCTGTAAGTAAGAATAGGTGCGCATCCCATCGCTTGCTGTGGCTAAGTATGCTACGGATCCCAGGTGTGATTCATCCCCCACCGAATCCACACGTGAGTGCTTCACCTGCCGCCAACCGACTCAATTACGAGTTCCCTTCTTTTCCCCCCTTTCTTTCTGTCTAACTGCTAGTGGCAATAAGAAGAGTTCCCCCTCAATCGCCTCATTTACTCGGTCCGTGGCATACGAACCAGCCGGAATCAAAAGTTACTATCTTACTTTGTATTCATCACTTCATTACTATTACTATCCATACACACACAAACAAGCACACACGCACAACGGCCGTCTCTGCACTCTCCAACCCTTAGCCTTCTCCAATCAAGGACTACTCCAAAGGTGTGTACCTGATCGGCCCTGCGCTGGCATTTGTCATGAAAGAGAGCACTCTGTACACATGCTACATGTGACAACATGGTCCCGTGACTCTGGGCTCCTCATGTCCGGCAATGAAAACAAATAGCCTCTCGCCCGGGAGGAAAAAAGGAGGAAAAAAAAGACCACCGGACCCTTCAAAAGCAGTATGGCTTCTCGTAACGACAGTGTCAAAGCATGCCAGCCATTTCCTCTTGGCCTTCTTGCCAGTGCCAACATGATTTCATCCGTCGTCACCCCCAGAGTCATCATAATCGTCTGTCGATAAGTGAACTTCAAGAGAAGATCTACGCCTCGCATGCAGTGCAAAGGCAAGGCACATGTTGAGTTGTCCCAGCCGCTCGAGACAGGTAGGTCGCTACCTTTCCGGAATCGGGCTCTTGGCCAGACGTCCTCCCGCGCTTACTCTCTTCTGTAAACGGGCATCTCGCTCCCGCTGCAGCTTTTCGTTGGGACTTAGGTTGCCGGGCAGTGACCCAACGCTGTCGTTTGAAAATCCCGTGCTGCGTCCTCGTTTCTCTTCAATATACAATTGCGCACTGCGGCTGAGGGGGAAGGCCGGCATCGTCAACGGAACTTCTGCGCCGTTTTGAAGCAGCATTTCTGCCACTGGAAATGGCACCGTCCTGTCCGTCTCCGGGGGCTGCCCAGGAGTGGGAGAAGGTGACGCAGGATCGGCGGCCGCCAGCGCCAGGAAAACTGCGTGGGTTCCTCGAGACCTGTCCGTGACATTGGGACTTGCCCTCAGAGCCAGGGCGTAGATCACCTGCTGGATCTCATTCTTCTTGATGGCTGCCAGCAAGGTGTCATCGGGGTTTGGATAACGCGAAAGTGTGGCTGAAATCGGCTCAACGTATGCCCTATCCACGTACTTTGCTGTGATGAACCGCAACCGCATCTCTCGGGTTGCCTGTGATGTCGGCTTGTATCCAGGCTCGAGCTTCGCTTCCCAAATCATGTTGGACACTCTATTTCCAACAAGAAGTAACAGCTCGACAATATCAGAGGTAAAGGAATTTATGTCCAAGGTGAGAGATCGCACTTTGCTGATGTGCGTGCCGAGAGAGCGATGAATGCCACTACATTCAATGCATAGAATAATGGCCAAATTGATTGAAACCCATTCGACTTTTGTACCCGACCCGCAATCAGCGCACCAACAATTTCCTTGGTCGTTGTCGCGAAGCAATTGAAGCAGCTTGTCAGGATTCTCGTCGAAACTCGAGCTGGTTGATCGATGCGTGCTGGGTCGAGCGCCCACAGTAATTCGGCGTACGGGTGCGCTATTTGAATTCGCGTGACTGTGGTGGCTATTGTGGCCAACAGAGGGGCTCTTGCCGGTGAGGATCGAGCCAATGTCTCTCTTGATGTATCCTGAATCGCTCGGCGCCGACTTGTCTCTCATGATGCGGCCTTCGACCGCACTTTGCAACGCATTGTTGATAGACGTTATCCAACTGTTCATATCTTCTTCCGATGTTGCTTGGTAGACTCGTTTGAACTGGGGCGTTATGACTTCGAAACAGAACCGGCGCTCGGCATTCCGTGCTTCTCGAACAGATGCCATTCTCAAGTCGATTGGATCATTGTGCAAATCAAGCCTCTGTTTCCAGTTGCTATACTCCGAGAGCTTGCCCTGATCGAGAACAATCCAGAACCTGCGATTTGTTAGGACGCAAAATGCTATGGGGGTTCCCAGATGAACTTACTTGTGCCAGCCCTGTTTGTTCAGGTTGCGGGGGTCAACGTGGTTGCTTCCGCCCTTACTAAGGGACCATAGCAGGCCTTCTTTACGCTGTGTGCTGCTGGCGCCTGACGATTGGCCATAGTCTTTCTCCTCCAAATCACGGATTCCTTTGAACTTTGAGGCTTGAGCAGGACTTCCAACAGAAGAATTGCCAAGACTGCCCGGGGACCGAGATAGCTCAGGAGAAGCCATTGAAAGGGAAGGATTCGAACCCGAAGACATTGCCACCTTCAACTGCGATCCCGTGCTGTCGGCACGGCCCAGATCACTGTCGGAAACATACGCATTTCCGTTTGAGCTCGCAACCGGGCCACTGCTTGTACCGGGTACTGGGATGGGATCTGGCTCATTGTACGGCTGGTTGCTTTTCTCGAGTAGTCGTCTCTTCTCCTCGCGCTCCCGCCTTTGGTACTGATATTCCTTATCGGCCTCTTGTACTTCGCTTGAAAGTGCCTCCAATTGGGGTAGAAGGGTATCAATCTTCTTCGCCGCCTCGAGGAAGCTCTTCGTTTGAGCGTCAGCGTATCGTGTGAGATGGGACAGAACTTCTTGTTCTTTCCGGCCGCCATGCAAGTCTTGCATGAAACTCGAATAGTCGAAACGCTTGAGCTCAAAGTTGCGACGTTTGGTCTGGTACTTTGAATCACTCTCTGCCAGTTTCTTAGCCTTGACGGAATCGTGACGCTGTCCGAGATATCTCGAAACGTAAGCATAGTAATCCTTGCTTTCCTCCTCAAAATCACGTTTCTTGGACTCGGCTTGCTTGATGTCCACTGTGTAGAATTTGTCCAAAGGGTCAATCACAATCCTCTTCAGGTTGACAGTATTTGTCCGCTCATAGGCGAGAATTTCCCGAGCAATCTTGTCAAAGTAGTGTTCAATGGCTGGCTGAACAGCATTGGCGTTTGTCGAAGAGGCTTCCCGAAGAGTGTCGATGAACTCAGAAAAGTTCTTGTTGGCCTCCTGCTGTGCCTCATGTGCTTGTTTGGCCATCTTGAGCACGCGCTTCATCTGCGTCCGCATATTACCAGTCTTTTGCTCCAACGATTTAATCGTCGCCCTGAAGACAGGTCCATCGTCTGGTACAAGAACATCGTCGGTGGGTTTCGGGCATGCGACATCAACTTTGATAGGCTCCGATGCAGATTGTGGCACAGGGAGTATGGTGGTCGATGATGTATTGCCCGGCAACGGTGACAAGGGCTCGTCTAACTCGGCATGACTGATCCGAGAATCCACAGACTGGGACGAGGCGACACGGATCTTGGGAGGGGCGGTCAGTAGGAAGGGAGGGGATGGCGAGTTTGGGTGGCTGAGCGGTAAGACTGGGTCTAGAAGAAGTCAGCTGCGGGCCGCAGGTAAGAAAGACGAGCGAAGCCTTACTCGACACCCAGTATGAGAAACTAGCCAGAGTGTGCAGGCAGTGAGCGCGAGGGTCGTACTCGACGAACTATGAAGGGATTAGCAATGCTCCATGCTCATGGTCTGTAGTCAGCATACGCTGCAGGAATTCCTCCAGCCACCACCCCTGTCTTCAATGCTCTTTGGAGGTTTCCATTTCCAGGTCCATTCAAAAGAAACGGAGGGAGTGCCGCCAGTCGCAAAGTCGCCTACCAACTCAACGTTGGAATTCTTGTGTAGATTCGGGTCGGCGTGGAACTCGCGGGTCACCAAGTTCTCTACTTCGCGGGGTGTAGAGGCGTAGACATAGGTTAGTCCGCTGATTTGAGTGTCGGTCGTTGCTACGGCGTCAGCGCCGCTGTTGGTGACAAACTGCTGGCCTTGACGTATAACGAAGGTAAAGGTGAAGACTAGCTCGTCGTCTTGGTTGAGCTTCAGTATGAAATTCGGAACGCCGCCGGGACTTGTTACGACTTCGGTGTCCTGTAAATGCAATGGTCAGCGCATGTCACTGGGAAGTTAAGAGAGCACAGGGGGTCTGATGTTATTCTTTGCGCCTACGAACCTGAACGAATTCTATGGGACTGCCGTCGCCTAGCGGACGAGAGGCCGAGACTCTGGTGGCGGGGAATGCGTTGGGAACGATGTTTACGGAAGAGCGCTTTCGCGGGTTGGAGATGACGAGAGAAGATATGGATACTGCAACGGAGAGTTAGCAAGCGGGTGCGCAAGGCTGCATGCATGAACAGGCACAGAGGCAAGCAGAGCTGAGAGAGCAGAGAGCGGGAGGTCGCACGTCGATTCTGGTCTCTAAGATAGAGGGTAGCCCCGTCATCGGGCTTGCTGCTAACGATGCCCATGATGAGATGTTGAAGTTGGGATTAACGGCGCATGAAGGTGTACAACGTCGGAGGTGAGGCAGAGGCAGAGGGAGCGCCTCTTTGGTGGTCGGCGGGCTTCGCAGCGCGTGGTCGCAAGTTAGCCAGGATCGTGAACATTTGGCGACACAAAAAGAGGCCAAGCCACAGCCACGGGCAGGCGGTACGGAAGCGTGGACTGAGCAGCCAGGTTCGAGACGCTGCGGCTGTGGGAGGCGACGAGGGCCTGAGCGAAGGGGTTCAAGTAAAAGCTGCGGGGATAACGGCAGACAACGGCGGCGTCGAGGACGGGAGTATTTGAGGGGGAACAGTAATGAAAGGTAAAATACCAAAGAAGTGGTGGTAGTTGTTGTAGTGTAGAACGGACGGGGGGAAATGAATAAGAGAGTCATGGAAATGCAAAAGGTTGAATGTTGCGATCCGATGTCGACGGAGAACCACCTGCTGCTGGGCTGCGGCACGTCTGCCTCAGAGGCCTGTTGCTTGTCGGTCGCTGTCACTGTGTTGCTATTGCTGAGGTGCTTGCCTGCTGCCGCTGATGTGCCCCCCCAGTGCCCCCCCCTCCCCTCCTTGAAAGTGTCGTCAAGGCCCGCATTCGGTTCAAGCTACTTTTGTCGCCGCGGATATTTCCCATGTCAGCTAGGTACATGTACACAATGAATGTGGGCTGGACTTGGCTGGGCTGGGCTTGTCACTCTGGTGGTCTGGAGTAAGGTAAGGTACCATGCCACCTCGTCTGAATTGGACTGGAAAGCACGAAGGGTAAGGT